AAAAAAAAATGATTTATCATTAAGATGTGTAAGACAATATCATATTATAAAATTCTAATGCTCTATTTTTTATAAAATGAACGACAAATAGATTATATAATATAAACTTAACAAGATAGAAAGTTAGGTAATTATTCTTTATAATATAAATATTCATTTATACCATCAGGTATGGCATTGAAGTCTAACTTAGTTTTAGTTATGCTTAACCCATTTATACTTCTATAATGATCTGAGCATCTAAGCCATTATGTCCGAAAAATATTACATTTATACATTTTACAAGTTTCTATTTTGAACATACATGTTTGTTAATTTTATCATTTCAGCTCTTGTTGTTATCTTATTTTCTTTTCTTTGTAGATTGTGGTTAGCATTTGATTAGTGATTATCTTCACTTATAATTAAATTAACTTTTCTATGTATTATGCTTGCAGCATAGGTGTAGTAGACTCAATCTTGTGAGTTGATTGGGCCATGCCTATCCCAGTGACCATGCACGTGTTATATGTAGAATACCAACTTCTTGTTAATGATTCTTTTTTCTCTTATGTAAATAAGTATTCTAGACATTCATGTTTTTAATGTCTAAATATTTTCTTCTTCAAGATATTTAATGTACTTTAAAAATGCTCAAAGCTATCTTCAAGAGCATGAATATCTAGACTTAAAACTCCACCAACTAGTAAAGTCTTCATTGTCTTTTCTTTTATAACTCAAGTTAGACATGACTTGTTATGGTGGCAACTCCTTTCTAGGATAAAAAATTATCTCATGTTCAAACTAAACTCTCAAGAGTTCTTCGATCTTTATGAGGATTTTACGTGTCATTCTTGGCTTCTTTATTATCGTCGATGATTCAAATTGTATTCATAACCTTTAGCTTATTGTCTTATAAAATAAAAAAAGACCTTTAACATGCCACATGCTAAATCATCGTACAATAATTACAACCAACATATTTTTCTACCTTTTTTTTTAAAAATTAATTACAGTACTTACTAATCTCTTTTGTGTTTCTTGTTCTTTTTACATTTAAATCTAAATACTTTCTATATAAAAACATGAGATATAATAGTGGGAATTGAGTTTGATATAACTCCTTTCCTAATTTAGTAAAGAATCAAAGTCACCACATAATCATTAAACCTTTTTTCTCATCCAAATTTTTTTTAAGGATAAAAATTCTATAACAAGATTATTCAAGACTTCAAGCTTATTATTATTGTTATTATTATTATTATTATTATTATGGTAACAGCCCGAAACTTGAAAGAATAAATTACAAATTGAATACGGAAGCAAAATAATAGCGTTAGAGTTTACATTCATTACAGAATAATTCAGAATACCCAATAGAAATACGAGAATGACCATTCTAAAAGAACAACGAATAATCAAAGAAATAAATAGAAAGTAAATAACTGAACATCCTATTCACAACCCTATTGTGGATCAGAATTTGGATCTTGGTCTTCTTGATCCGAAATGGTTAATGAAAGAGTGAGCTATACTAACCTAGTAAGAATGTCATACTACTCACCGATACAGAAATGAATGTTAGTAAAAATCATGAAAATAACTAATTGAGCTCTTAATTTAAGCAAATTCATTTACCATAAGTAAAATCATTTATTGTATACTTACCGTAGTGAAATTTTCAAAACTGATCAATAGAGTCAATAACACAAACAATATCATAATCTCATATTCAATTAACCAGAACAAGAACTTTCCATTTTTATTTGCCTATTAGTATCCATAAGGGTTCATAAGGATGTCCCAACTACGCGTGAACTCTTATTCAACATTTTTAAGTAACTGCATGTCCTCATACCTCGTCCGATATGAATGTAAAAAATACCACCCCTCAATACCCCATCCCGAATGAGGGGTGAAACAAGCTGTCCCCATACGCCGTTCGGTACGAGTGCCAAAATATCAATCATCGATATTCCGTCCAGTATGAGATAACGTTCATGGTAGGGTTTTCTATGTACCCGGTCCGTCCACCATCTCCTAGAATATCCAGTAAGGCTATCATTTATTCATTCACTTAATCAAACAATTTCCCGTTTACATTTAATTTTCAGTTTCTTAATTTAACTGTAATCACGCAGAATAAGCAATACATACATCAAGGAATGACCACTGAATCATCATACCAACTCCAATGTAATATTATACATTTGAAATAGTAAAATCAATTAAACAGGATCAACAGTGAATATAACTGGTTCTGGCTATATTAGTAACTTGTGATTAATTATTAAGATTTTCTAAATTGTACAAAATACCATATTATTTATAATTAAACTTCAATTTTATAATAAGAAATAGGGTGAAAGATTCTTACCCGAATCGGTGTCTGAACACTAAACTTTCAATTGCACCTACTAGCGGTCTTCGGGTTTTCTGAATTTTTTTGTGGGAATTAAAACACGATCCAAGTACCTAGAAATACCCCAAAAAATCCAAAACCGGTGTTAAAATCCTTTTTCGGCCAATTTCAGAATTCTGGCACAACAGCATCGCTGTACTTCAACGACGGCACCGTCGCTTGTACTCATCCCTGCGAGAAAATACGTTAAGGGGCATTAGTTGGCCGAAAAAAAATCAAAAAATAAAAGCTTACCAGCGGAAGGATTTTTCAGTGTGGCGGCTCTGTCGACTCACCTTCGCGGTTGGGCGCTTTTCTTTGATCAACCTGTGGGAAACATAATAGTGAATGCAATAGTGAAAAAATCGCATGAAACGAAAATCGGAAAGGGTCTCATCAGAGACGATTTTTTTTTCTGCGACGGCGCACCAGGCTTTACCCGCGGTTTTCGCCTTATCCACCAGTCTTTTTGCTCCGATTTGGCCATGTAGGTGTTCAAAATCGAATTTCTAACTAATGAATTTTTTTTTTACCTTTTTTTGGCAATCGGAGGTGGCTCCGGCATGACGGTGATCGGCTCCCTCTCCTGGCGACTAGTTCTTCTTCTCCGGCGGGGGACTGACGGCTAGGGTTAGGGTTCAGTGTGAAGTGAGGTATTTATATCCGTCTCCCTTTAATCTGGACCGTTCAATCACGTTTAAATAAAAAATAAATTTGGACCGTTCATCGCGATTTGATCTGGACCGTACAATCGGGCCTGAGGAGGAAATGAATCCATACCGTCTACGCGCGCGGGAACAATTCCGAACCGTCCGATTGCAGGCACGCGGATTGCCAGTATGGTCTCATGCGGGGTATCGCGTCAGCTTGTCTTACCATGCGGCGTGCTCTAGTTCGTCGGGATTGCTGACTGAGCGGTCCTACGTGTCACATTTTTTCTAAATTACTTTTTGACATTATATTTTCGATTTTTTTTCAAAAACACTACCAGAACCTAAATTTTCACCCATTGTTTTCAAAATTGTTTTATATTAAATAAAATTCGTAAATAAAAAAATAATATTTTATACATTAATTTAAAATTTTTTTTATAAATTAATTACGGGTATTACAATTATTGTAGTTGTTGTTTGATCAAATGGTTTAGAATATGTATTGGTTTAATTAATTATAAAATTTACTTCTTTATTCCTTTATGAATTTATGGCTATATTTTGTATTGTCAACTATGAATAATTGATCCCTTTTAATGCATGACTTTTTTTTTTTCAAATGCCGTGTTTCTTTCAAATTTTGAACAATTAAATGAAGTTAGATTAATTTCATTTATTATTTGACTTTCAAAGTCTCAATAAAATATTTTGTTTGAAGTACTCGAAAATTTAAATGATAAAAGTAAAATTTCAAGATAAGATTTTATATATGAGATCGAATTGCGTTTCGTTCAGTAAATAGTAAATAACGAATTTTACCAAACACGTAAAATTTATTATTTTATAAATATATTATAAAATGTAACGACTGTTATATTATGTTTAATTTAATAAGTTTATAATTAATTTATTAATATGTTAGTGAAATCATTGAATTAAGTTTCATCTAATAAATTATTATAATTTTGATAAAAATAATATTTTATATGGACTAAATTCACTTAATTGTATTTTTAAATTTATTTATATTTATACAAAAATTAATATTATA